TCGACTCGATTCTTTCACTATCTGGTAGAACAACACTTGGTCTTCAAAATCTATGAAGTCGCAATTGCTGACATCTTCAACTACCAGATATATGACAGTGGAAATTTCGCATGATTTTTCGCTACTTTGTCATTCGAAATACTGGTTCTCTGCGGTTACTGCCTAGATTGACCTACTACATGGGAATATGCTCTCAATACTTTCTTTTACTTTCCTTTTGCTTATTTTCCTTCTTTTAAGCTTCAGCAAAAAAAATTTTTCAAACCCAAAAGTGAAGGTGGTCACCCGGTATCAGCTCAAAAGTGAAGGTAGGCGGAGACTCGGCTCCGACTATCGCACCTCTGCTTACGACACCTAGCAAATAAAGTAAAGGCTACTGCATGACGAAGGCGCAGAAGCAGCATTGGTTGAGCGGGCGCCGCGACGCGCTCGTACTTCAACGTTGTAAATCCTGCGCTTCATGCGCTCTGCGGCTAATAAAGCCGCTTCGCGCCCAAAGATATTGCGCCTTCGTCATGCAGCAGCCTGTACACCTTGTGGGTAAACATTAAGCACTAATCGTGACGAATACACTTTTATTATGTAGGACCCGATACAGTCTCACTCTTATTTTTTTTTCATGTCTAGAAATCTCCTTATAGCTACCTGTGTCAAACGTCAGAGCTCAGTTCTTAAGAGCAAACACTTTGAATTCACATCTTAATGATAGGGGTCGGATTCTACAAATGCTTGAAATAGTGAAATATCAATTCAGCAGTCGTTTTGTTTTTATGTACCGGTCGTGCTTTGATGCAAAAATGCTGTTCCAGAATTAGCACCCTGACCAAGAAACGACAGTTGACAACGTTAGAACGAGGCAAAAGGGTTTTATCTATTAGCACAATGTTGCCGGTGCAGACTATAGTATATACTGTAGTGCTATGAGTTACTACTACTTTTTGAGGCTACTGCTCACTCATCTCTTCAATGTAAGCGGTTTATGATTTCCTTTATGCCGATTTCTATCGCCCAAAGTGAGTACAGCCTGAGACACCGTCCACTCTCTGAGGTTTATTAGATTTTAACGAGCTAAGATGCGGGCCCGCTAGCTAAGTCTAAGTGCTGCTGTAAAAGATGAGTCTTATGGAGAGAAAATCCCTCTTGGTTGGAGCAGCACGCCAAAAACGTGAATGCTCTAAGGCCCGTATGCACTAACATCTTTGCGGCGAGGGGAGCGGCGTCCCCCGTTATGAAGGGACCGCGTGCGGACGCCGCTGCGGCTTTTTCATCATTAGGGACGCCGCTCCCCTCGCCGCAGGGATGTTAGTGCATGCGGCCCTAAGAGTACTGAGCGCAAAACTGAGCCCCATATGCCGAGAGATACTGAAAACCTTCATTCGATTAAGATATTCAGTTACCTATAGTTACCCTTTAGATAGTTCTTCAAACCACCCACCGACCACCGTGTCAAGCTCTGCTGCATTTACCTTCAAGCGCAACATTCTCCCTTCGGAACCTACTTTACAACGAGACATGTGCAATCAGTTAATGAGTAGCCCAGCTATCGTGCAGCATCAAAAGCAGTCCAGGAACCTCTTCCCAGTATCTAATCCAACGAACGACTTGCATCGCACGAGTAAAGAGAAATACGCAATCGCATGCAAGTCGATGCAAGTCGTCTTCAAAGATACGGTAGCGAGTCTGGCTTGAAAACGAATTTCTTAGGCCCGAGCGCATTCTGCGCTGCTAACTTGAGCCCATGGCAAAAGCTACAAATACGATGATCCGTTGACCGGTAATTCTGACTCCATCTCTCTTCTACTTCATACTGACTGTGTGTGTAGAAAGACGCAGTTGTCGTTGGTTTGTCCAGATTGACATCTAGCACTATATACGTCAAGCGTTTTATAAATCCTAACCTGACATTTTCCAAAGATACATCGGATAAGTTGTTCATTTTTGTCATCGTAGAGGAATTTGAAACATCCACGTCAAAGTTGAAGCCATAGGAATGCAACTACCAACAAGTTCGTTATATTTTAATCAACATTCTGGCAAGGAGAGGTAGGCACATTTTTGGGGATACCCTTATATAATTACACATAGTTCATTTCAGTTCCCGCAGCCGACTAGATCAATAGTGGAGAAACTCCGGCTCTTGTACTTAATTTTGCTTCAGTTGATATGACTGAATTCGGTGAAGTTGGACAAGGATACGGAGTTCAGGGGAAAGATGAATCATGATTGGATTCAAAATGTAAGGGTTTGAGTCATGATCCTAATTATATGGCTCTTGCAATAAATTTCGGTATTCAGAGCTATCTCAACATCTTGGAGTCTAGTCGCCGTATATATGTAGTCCATACATTTCAAAGGAAAAAAATGTTAACGACTACTTAAACTTAGGAAAGATTAATGCACTTAAAGGCACCGTCCACCCTAAGTTGAAGGTCTTGAGCTATTGGCAGCATATGATAGTAGGGCCTCCTATCAAAGTCGCTTCGGAAGCGAGAAAATCGCTCCGGAATAACGAAGATGCACGAGGACCCCCATTCATGCCCGCCCATTTGTGCGCGCCCATCCAATCACAGTTCCGGAAAGCTGACCTGTGGGTTCTCTGGAACGGGGATTGTCGGCGTCTTCGCAGATTTTCGACTTTATATTCGAAATCAGGGACATGAGAAGGTCCTGAAACGACAAAAACCTGGAAGACGAAAATCTGGGTGGACGGTGCCCTTAAGGGAACCGTGTGTAAGTATGTGGAGTGCAGAACAATTCCTATCTCGTGTTTCTCAAAGTGTCATGCTTCAAGACCGTTTTATAATCGCAATGAAACACTCTTTGAATTGTTTTCTGGAAGACTGTGAAATATCATACCGACCTTTGTTGTTCTGCAAGCGCTGCATCATCATTGGTCTTTTGTCATATTATTTTTTGCGGTATTTTCGCTTATAAAAAAGCCAACAAAACCGAGATGAAAAACAACGGCACAGAGTACAGAAACTAACATTACAATTTGTCATCTACCAAACATCGTTTGTATGCTAGTTATCACTTAGAAGCGCTGCACCGTTGGTTAATGCCATAAGCAATTTTCTTTCAGTATGGGCGCATTTTTGCTTCGTCGAAATTCCAACCCTGTTGCAATTTTCCTCTGTTTGGGAAACTGTCAGTTCCACGAAAATGAATCTTTACTATGAAATATGTAATCAGCCGAAGTTGTACTAAACTCTGTCATTTTAAAGAACTGCAAGCACTTTTTCGTTTTCTTGCTAATTGTTTTGGTTTTTCATTGAAGTCTGGACAAAGGTCAATCTCGATCAAAGGTCGAACATAGTTTGTTTTGCATGCATTCTCATCAAACATCTCAAATTCGAAGCTTCTTCAAGATATTTCGGACATAGCGAAGCTTACGGAAAGTAAACTACACAACAATCAATATTTAGGTAAATTTTTGAATTTCTAAGTAAAAAGGAACGTTATATTCATATCATTCGCAGGAAAAGTGCTGTTTTGAATGAATTTCATTGTGATACATAGAGCCAGGTAGATGTTGCACAATGCCTTTTTGAGGAGTATCTCCTTGAAGTTCCCACCGCATCTTCGCAATGCATCCATTTTGGCAACCTATTGGTAACTATCATTCAAAATCTATCTCCTCCTAACATACGGTAGTCAGTTGTTTCCTTTCTTTGTTACTAACAGTGAAGAACACAACAGGGGGCAAACATGGGTCAAGTGTATAGCCTAGAGTGTCTCTCACCTCATTAGTCAGCTAGTCATTAACGTGATTTCGCACTTCTCACAAACCCAAGCGTTTGTTTGCTGTTCGCAAAATGTCAGTAACTGATAAATCACCCTTATCTTTCCCGCATATTCAAACGCCTAATCTTCGTTCTATCGGCTCCTCATAACTTACAACCTTTCATGTTGATTTCTGCCAGTCCACTTTCGTTCCCGACTTTTAGCACTTTCTTTGCTTAAATGTGGTTGTTTTGATTATTTCTCACTTTTCCTTAGAGTTGAAGACTTTTTATAGAATACCTTTGTATTTACCACCTTCGCAATGGGCGTATCATCATAACAGTTGTTTTTGTTCCTTCCACTATCTTAAAGAACTGAAAAATTAGGCTGAAGCTATGAATAATGAACAGTGCTTCCATAAACCTAAAACACGAAGTAATTTGATTCTACTTCTGCTTGGTTCGAATTTTTACTATGCAGTATTTGACAGTATTGCATTGCGACTCTTTGCTACTTAGCAGAGGTAACTGTACTTCTTACTGACTCATAACTTCTTTTTTTTTCGAACTAGAAGCTCTGAAATTAGTATATCCGAGATTACTCCATTCATGGCATCTCTGCTCTGCATGAAGAAAGAATGTTACATTTCGTTACGCAGAAATCAGCTAAAATTTGATTAATCTGATTCTTCTCGAATCCCAACTTATGATTTCAAACAATTTTTTGGCTTCAAATCAATCGCTTTTTCTTTCATTGGTAGATTTCTTTTGCTGCATAGGCGAAGTGATATCACTGAAGTGCTAATAACTTCAAATACCGAGTTTTTTATGCAGTATCTCGAGCACCCCAAAATTTGCATCTTCAAGATCAGAATCTTAGCTATCAATTATCCGAACATACTTTCTCCTTTTATCTTTCAAAGTATTCATTCTTACGTCAATGCATGAGCTTTTTACGCGTTTTTTGCGAGCTCTTGTTTTTTTTTCAATAAAGAAAGACCGTCCTTCTCTTTCATACTTACGTTATAGAATTCTATAAATCTTGTCTCATAAGCAATTCTTTCTCTCATCTACTGCTGAAGACCTTCTTACTTCAATTATATGATTCTCAGTTCACCAACTATGCTAGACATGAGAGCTTTACGAGAGCCTTGCGAAGAAATTTGAGTCAAAGAGTTATACGGACAACATGAAAGCATTTTGTGACGCAGTTACATACATATGCAAATTTGCTTGAATTCCATTCCATTTCACGTTTTTCTTTTTACAGCCGCGATCATGGGCAAGTTACCAGAAGCTAAGAAGCCGTTGATACCGCAAAATCTTGATGACATCGTTGTTCTGGGAAGGTATACGATGCTCGTGTGCCTTCTCACAGAGTTCGCCTTTCTCTCACAACTCTCTAATACAATGTACATGGTCTATGCAGGTGCGTGCCAATCCACTCTTAGTGGCTTATCTTTTCTTGATTTGCTTGAACAAAGGTTTGAATGAACACGTGTGAGGCACGAGATAAATCTTTTTCATGTAGGAATAGGGATTGTTTTAGGTAAATTCATGAGTTTTCAAACAAAAATTTCTAATGCCCTTGTTTGAGTTTGATTTAGAACAATCAAAAATTGAAAAAGGAAACTTAAACACATTGCTACTCGCACAGACCGATCAGCTGTGAACATGGTTCAAAAATCTTTGAAAAAATTGATTTTGAGACTCTTCAGCATAATAGCAGAAAATGCAACAAAACGGATTTTTTTCAATCTGCTTGTTCGCCCAATCAATTAGCATCAATGCTAGACAGCGCATAATCTCTTTTTTCAAAAATAAATATATTATAACAGAGTCGTCGAGAATGGAGGAAATTACAAATCAAAAGCTCTGGTACGATACCTACACCTATAAACCATGTTTAAGTTTCACTCCTTTAGAATAGCAATGAAAATACTCTTTAGTCAAATATTGGATTTCGACAGAAAAAGCAGATTCCGTACTTGATTGTCGAGATGGTTTATCTATGTCATAAAGTATTTTTAGGTTCTTCGCCTGCTATCAAAGGCTGCGGTAATATAACCTTCACGAGCATGGACGATGCATGCGAAAATCTTCACTTGTGTGAAGGGGTTCCGCTCAAGTTGGAAAGCCAATTTTACTCAGTTAATGAAGAGGTAATGTTTTCTTCGGGTGTTTTGAGGTTTTTTGCGTGCGAAGCAACGAAGTATGAAAAAATCATAATTACCTGGCCCGTTTGTTGATTTAGCTGCACGCGGTAGGTATAGCTCTTGGTGCTTATCGAAATGCTCAAATGTCAGTCCATAAATCAGCATCGCGCTTTCACTAGTGATTAAAGGTGATAGGTCAGCTTGACAGATAGGGACAATGAGTAATCGCCGTTTTTGAATTGAAGACTTAAGCCATTCGGATTGTTTCAAGACTTCGAACCATGAGGCTCATGATTTGAAAGACTAATAAAATAGATCAATGATAGCGATCAGTTGCTCTGCTTTGTACAAATACATCGACTCTACAGTGAACGACGCGATAAAATTTGAACAGCACATATTTTTGTATCCTTTGTTTTTGACGCATTTGTAAGTTGTAGTTTAGTTCAACTAGTCAATGCAAGCAGTCCTAGATTCTCTATATGGCAGAGAAAATAAACAAGTTTTATTCGGGTCATTGATTAGGGCACATCATTATGCTTACAATAGTAAAAAGTCATGTGACGCTTCAATAGCATGAGGCTTATCGTTTTCAACTTGTCTTTCCTTATTCTTTCAACTCAAATCCGATATTTATTTCATTCAGTAACCTATGTGCTTTTGCTGCAGATGAAATTCATATCGTAGTGCAAAATGTCCGACATGGAATTCTAGAAAAGAAATTGTAACCCTAGTTCAGTATTTTCCACCCTATCAGTTATAAAAGCCACATAAAAACTTATAGAAGATCTTTTTTAGTGGGGGATACATTGTGAGGACAGATATCTGGAACGGCGGAGCACTTCGTTACAAATGCTAGGCGTCATGATCGGATCTCTGACATCTGGACAGATCAGTTCATCGTTTGGACGGAAGAAGGTAGAATAAATACTGAAGATTATGTCATTAATTTTGATAATATTATTTTAGCCACTGGTATTCTGTCTAGCTATGACTGGTATACTAAGTTTGGCCACGTACTTCGTTACTGATCTCCTCCAGTTCACTGCCATTCGTTTCGTATTGGGCCTTTTCACTGGAGGTCATTCAACGTTAGTTGTTTAATTTTTCGAAGCTCCAAAAAATTCTTAGATGTACCGTTTAAATGGCGCGAATGTCAAAAAATAATCATTTACTATTTCCCGTCTCCTCATATCTAGCAAGCAACATTTATCACTGAGGCTTGACTAAAGGATTATAAGGAAGAGCGAATTGTTGCTGTCAAAATAAAGTAGAGAAATTTTTTCTTGTAGCGATTTTACTGCACTACGACCGACTGACCTTGTATGAGCCAGCCTTTTCCTTGTTAGGTATAAACATGTAAATCAATGACAATCTCTTTCAGAGTAGTCGTAGTATATTTGCTGGAGAACATTCCCAAAAATTCGAGAATGTGGATAAACACCGCAATCTCATACTCTCCAAATGTGATCATCCTTGGAGTGGTCGCTTACTTCTCCCAACATTGGAGAGTATTAGCATTGGTGATAGCAGCACTTCACATTCCAGCAGTTGCACTTATGCTGTGAGTCGTCCCTTTCGTCATACATTTTTTTAGTACAAGTAAAAAAATGATATGTTGCTACCGGTATAGGAAAAACTGTGGTTTTTACCACTGACCAGAGAGCAGAGCTTCATAAAATGCAACTCTTTGAACAATGAACATTTTACAGATATCTCCATGAGAGTCCACGCTGGCTTGTGCAAAGGGGCCGCATGGATGATGCTAGGCGGGTAATTTTAGACATTGCAAGCATAGATGCCGATAAAGCCAATATCGATGAGAAAAACCTTGACAAAATTCTGCAACTGGAGCATGATGTTTGTTCCCAGCAAAACACATGTAGAGCGTATTTCGATCATATATTCAGAGGTTTGAAATAATGGGAAAGAAGAGACACACTTATTGGCACGTCTTCAGAAAGGCTCATCTCGCACTACCTTTGTGCCTTATCGCCTTCAGCTTGTAAGTTCTTTTCACAAATAAGGAAGCTTTCTACTTACACAATATTCGATTTGAAAAATTCTACTCATTATTAAGAAAGTCTGCTGAGCAGTTGGAGCTATCCCAAACTGTGAGCTAGAGCACAAAAATAGCTTTTTGTCGTCGACTTGTGCGATCAGACTATATCTGAATGATAGACAGCAAACTATGTAAGATCTTCAAAATCGTTGACTAACAATATTAGGTTGATGGAAAACTTATATTTACAAAATTCATGTTCACAAAGTTCAATTTTGTTCCTTAATCTGAACTGGCAGAGAAAATACGAAAATGTATTGTAGATCATTCGATAGAGCAAAGCAAGGTCTACAAGAAAGCTGGACAAATCTAAGTGAAGTTTGCGAGGAAAATGTCGGAAATTTTGGGTGCCCAAAAATCAGGTTTCCGTTTAAAAAGATCCTCGAACCTTTCACTTGGTCAAGCACATACTATAACGTAGGATATCCATCTGTAAACTTGCCGTATTTTAATCGTAACTGGAAAATAGGGAATAAAAATGGGTTACAAATTCGATAATGTCGCTTTTTTGGGGATATTTATCGAAGACTAAAAATTTATTTTTATACATCCACAGGCTTTAGTATGGATATTTATGTCGGGGCAGTGCAGCACTGATTTTGCTAAATCTGCCGAATTTTGTTTTCTCAACTTGTAGCCATTACAATACATATGCATAGCTGATGCCACAAGTGTAATTTTTTGTGAACAAGTTGGATGTTTGTAGCAATTTTTTCTGAAGAAAGATGTAATTTTTGCGCATTTGAAAATCTTTGGATTTTTTCCTAACTTTCCGCGTATTAAACTTTCTAATATTTGAACACGATCTTGCTTGGCTTGCTTTCCCTATCAAATGATACGTTCCATAGAATTTTTGTCCTTTTCTGCCGCTCAAGGATAAGGTGACATGCATTAATTATGCAACCTAATACTTCTTTTGCCCAAATTTTGTGCCTCCAAAAAATGCTCAGATAATATACTAAAAGATCAGCTTTTTACCAAGAGCGGGATGAATTCGAAAGGCTCACTGATTTCCATAACTCGGCGGCGACTTCTCTCTATACTGATTTCCGACTATAAATGATATGCAATTTTTGAGTTATAGACCGAAGAACTTTCATTTTTTTAAACCGGGTTGACAATCCTATGCCCCTTCCCGAGAATTACCCCTCCCCCGGATTCAAATACCATTCTGTAGAAGAGGCTTCAACTTAGATTTACAGTAGCGAGCGAATTACCTATCACTCTTCGTTACAGTAGGGTGACAGTAAGAACTTCCAGCAGTGGAACCACTGTGAAATATCCATCTGACAATTTTTTTTAGAAATATGAAAAGTATGAAAAATGTGCGCTAATAATAAGGTTTTCGCGCATGCTGATTCCACTACACAACTCTTTATGAGTGTTCGGTGTTTTGACAGTGTAATTACAATTCCGACAATTGGAAATTAGGAAATGGAAATTCGGATATTACGTTTTACCTGGGACAACTCTGAAAAGATCACAGTAAAGTGGAAATTTCAAATCAGAAATCAGCGACTGACCGTGCAAAGTTTGTGCTGATTAAACATTTCTATGAAAAGTTATGATTTTTGAGCAAGCAATATAGAAAGGTAATTTTGAATTATTTTGGCATTTTTCTCGTAAATCGTAACATTTGATAGAGGCGTATGTCAATCAGCACAAGCTTGCCACAGTTAACAAGAGCAGGTAATAGAACCTATAATACCAACTGCTCAGATTTTTATTGCATTCAAATTTTTTTGTGACCCTACACAGAAAAACTTGAATTCTGCCTTTTCTTCTATCGCTCCTATCCATGCAACAGATGATCACTAGTAAGCAGCTAAGATGTTATTACAAAAAGCATGACTTACTCTTCCATACAAAATTAAAAGCAGTCAACGGTTGGAAAAGTCAGAAGTTATGAATTTTTGAATTTGGTGCGAAAGAACTTTCGGGACGACCTAATATATAATACAACTCTTTTTATTTACAAATACTCCGAGATTTCAGTTTCGCGTCGATGATAGTGAACTACGCCAATATGTTCAATCTCGGAAGTCTTTCCGGATCCATTTATCTGAACTCGATACTTATTGGATCGTTGCGATACTCAATTAATCTGGCTTGCGGCTTACTCGACTATAAATTCCTTCGATTTGGACGTAAAATGGCGCACTTCGGATGCCAATTTCTCGTCGTAGCATCGTTGCTGATCACAGCAATAATTGTATACACAGGTGAATTTTACTGCACCTTGCAGAATCCTAATAATTCTCGCTATCCTATAGCTCTTACAAGGGAAGTTCACTTAGTCGAAATGGAGATTCGGAAGGAGATCTACACCAATGGATAGAGCTTGAAAAGCTGATCTCAGATTACCTTCTATAGCTGCGATGCATTGTTCTAAGAAAAAGTCACGAGCTTTTCTAATGCCAAATTTTCGTGCATTTTGAGTCGCAAAATCAAGATAATCTCTATACAAAAATGTGCAAGCTCAAACCACCTAGTAAGCATTGTAGCTCTAATTCGATTTCATCCGAACGCTTTTGAGTGTTTTTCGATTATGTTGTTCATCCACAGGTCGTTTTCATTCCTAGATCACACTTCCATTATGTATACAAAAAGCCCGATAACCTCCATCTAGAAAAACGCGTCGCGTCGGAAACTTTTTGGAAATTATCAATGTATAAAATGTAGAACGATGTTCTCAAATGTATCTTCAATATTTGCGATGCGTTGTTCGAGATGGAGGTTGTGGGCTTTTTTTGTATGTATAATGAAAGTGTGATCTATGAAGGAAATGGCGACCTGTGGATAAACAACATGGTCGGAAAGCCCTCGAAAACGTTCAAATGAACTTGAAGTAGACCTAAAATGCTTACTAGGAGGTTTGTTTAAGCTTGCACACTTTTGTGCAGAAATTATCATGATTTTGCGACTCAAAGTGCACGAATATTTGGCTTTAGAAAAGCTCCTAACTTTTTTCAGAACAGTGCATCGCAGATATAGAAGGTATATCTGAGGTCAGCGTTTTAAGTCCTATCCACTGGTATAGATCTCCTTCCAAATCGCCACTTCGACTAAGTGAACTTCCCTTGTTAGCATTTCCTAGAAGACCAATGTTTGGAATTTTGTCATCATTGACTTACAAGGGAAGCTTGTTTAGTCAAAGTGGCCTTTCTAAATAAGATGTATACCTTGTTAAAGGGCATAAAACGCTGATTCCAAAATTGCCTTCCTCATCTGCAGAACGTTTATGGACGGGGAGTTATGAGCGTTTTTTGCAGCCAAAAACTGAATATGCGTTTTGGGTAAAATGACCATTTGCTAAAATCTTATTAACCCTCAAACAATGCAGTTAAGTGTGGTATATTTTTTTATTTCAGAGTATTTTTTTGAATAAAATGCTCTGATGATTATCACTGCTCCATTGAGTCCTACTTGCACATCCAATTTTTTGCTTCAATAAGCTCTCACAACTCCTAGTCCATAAATATTCTGCAGATGAGGAAGCCAGGTTTGGAATCAGCATTTTATTCCCTTCAGTATGGTATGCATCCCAACCAAAAAGGCCACATTAACTGAACATGCATTCCTCGTTAGTCAATGGTGGTCGAAAGCATTGCTTGACACACTCACTCAAACATATGGAAAGACTACTTTTCAGGCTGATTTCATAAGCTTGAACTTTGTGCAAATGCTCGCGGTTCTGTATACGCGTTGCCTATCAGTTAAAGTTTCGTCCACTTTTTGGAGTCCAAGCAAGTGGCGATTACGGGACTTGTCTGGACTCCAGAGGACGTGGAAACTTTTATTGGGTGATAGGCAATGCGTATACAGAACCGCAAGCATTTGTACAAAGTTTAGGTTTAAGATCTCTACATAAATAGTAGCCTTTCCACATGTTTGGGTGAGTGTGTCAAGCAACTTGACATAGCCGCGATTGACTGAGCGTTGCATGCACTAACATCGCCGCGGGGAGGGGATCGCAGCTTAGAAGAAAGCTTTATGTTTCGAAACTCCAGTTACCTGGATTTCACGTTGGGTACCTATTCGTAAGTATTTCCACTACCCTTCACTATGAACATGTTGAACAGGAGCGAGAAGCTGTACAAACCACATTTTCCAGCTTTTGCATGATCCCTGATGATCCCCGGCGCTTTTCTTTAAAGTCATTTTTCTTTCTCCGAAGTTAACGGAAAACCTCCAATGTTGTGCGTATTATCTAACCCAACAGTGCTAAGCATGTTGCTGATAAGAACAAACGATGTTTTGAAGTCATGAAATTTTCGATGATCCACAGGTCGAAATTTGAGGTTTACTGAAAAATTCGACTTTTCAAAAACTCATTTGTTCTCATCAGCAATATGCTTAACACTGTTGTGTTAGATGTTCAGTACAACTTTGGAAGGTTTTCGTCAACTTCGGAGAAAGAAAAATGACTTTGAAGAAAAGCGCCGGGGATCATCAGGGATCATACAAAAGCTGGAAAATGCGGTTCGTACGGCTTCTCGCTCCTGTTCAACATGTTCATAGTGAAGGGTAGTAGGAATACTTACGGATAGGTACACAACGTGAAATCCAGATATCTGGAGCTTCAGAATATGAAGCTTTCTTTTAAGCTGCAATCCCCTCCCCAGAGGGGAGGTTAGGGGGGTGGTGCAGGAGGAACCAAAGGGCTGCCGCCTGTATCCGCGGGAGATGATTACGAGCGCGAGCGCTATGGAGAATATTTTGGCAAGAAACCAAGAAAACTTGGCAAGGACATTCTCTAGGAACAGATCTTCATAACTTTGCCTGGAGATGACTTAGAAAAATTTGAAAAACAGATTTGTAATGCAGATTGGAAGGCGCATTCACTGAGCCCAAAAGTGAGTTAAAATTGGGAATTGTACTGGTAAGAAAATCCATCCTTATAGGAACTTCTTCTTTTGTGAATTTCGAACTTTCAAATTGTTGAAGACAGGGATTTTCATTCAAAATTTATTTCTTTGGGTAAAGGAATAGTTTGCCTTTTGAGTTAATGAACCAAAGCATTCGAAATATAATAAAAAATCTGGGCTTGTGTCAAGATGTACTATGCAGTTTGTCTCTAACTTCAAACCTAATTCTAATTCTAAATTTTGACACTAGGGATTTCATAGGATTTGCTATTGAGAATGTCGGTAATCGTTTCGAAGCTGTACACAGTAGCAGAAGTTCATCACATGCAACCTAGTTAACATTATTTTTGCCACTCCCTATTTTTAACTTCAAATCGAAATTTCATCAAAGAAAATCAGTTAAGTCTTCCACACAACATTGGACTTGGAATTCCTCAACTTTTGATAATGAATTTTGAACGCTCAGTCTTTGGTAAAATGAAACTCGTGTAACGAGACAGAGTTGTCTATCTATCCGGGCGTACTACTGAAAAATGCGCATTTCAATACTGATTCCAAATCTGTCCTTCGTACATCTGGCAGCTAACTTCAAAAAGAGTTATAAGGATTTGTTTCTAATGGATGTCCTTGCCAAGTTTTCCTGGATCCTCGCCAAAATCTTACCCACAGCGCTCGCGCTCCTAATTGTCTCCTACGGCTACAGGCGGCATGCCTTTGGTTCCTCCTACACCGCATCCGGGAGGTTAGTGCATGCGGCCCTAAGACAACGATGTCAAAATTCCAAACATTAGTCTTCTAGGAAATGCTAAGAATGCTATAGGAAAACAAGAATATATTGCAATATGTTGCAATAAATTCAGTCTGCTCCAAGAATGGGGTGTTGTGCTGAAGAAAGTACCATATTCTCTTCAGTTTTTGAGTAAAATCTTTTTAGGTTATGCAGCAACATACAGTGAATTCATCAGGATATGTGTCCTTATAATCTGCGCTATGTCATCTCAGGTGAGCTCTTATACAATACCGCTCACAGAATGTGCAAAATTTCCGTGAATGTCGCAGAATTCCGGGAATTCCGCGAATGTTCGCGAAATTTCGGAAATTTCACGAAATTCCTGGAATTCCGCGAAATTCCGGAAATTTCGCGAAATTCATGTGAATCACGCAAATTACGCAGGGCCATAACTTCTTTCCGAATGAGTGTATTCAAAATCCGAAAACAGCATTGTATTCAGCTCGTCAAGGCGAATCTTCTGCTATACAGGGTGTCTCCAATATCCTGTTTTCAATAATCTCGAATTTGCATGCGGACTCCTCTTCCCATGGGTGTAACGCAACGAGCGTCACACGTAGGAGACTGCCGTCGGCACCCTTCGATAGTACTCTTTCAGTAGATTATTCTGCGCTAAACAGCAGCCGAAGACTCTCTTTTAAAGGAGATAGAAGAGCTGATAAACTTTGGAAAAATTAAGCTGTTCCAAGTTCTACCAGCAGAACTTCCTTCAAAATCAACATTTTCGGAATCCGAAAGCAGCATTGTGTTCAGCTCGTCAAGGCAAATCTTCCAATACACAATGCCAATGAAATTCTGTTTCCAATTTTTTTAAAATTTTCTGCGCGCGTATATTCGCAAGGTCGCAACGCAGGGCACATCAAATATAAAAGACTCCAATAAACACTACTGGATTGTGCTGCTTTCGCAGATTACCGAGGGCTAAAAACGAACCTTGTCTTTTTCAGAAAAGATAGAAGAGCTGGTGAATTCTGGAAAAATCGTGTTGTTTCAAATTTTGCCCACTGTAACCCTGAAATGGGAAGCTCTCCTGCTAAGCAGATGTGATTTTCGTAATCAGCAGGTCAGATAACCTCTATGAGCGAAGTTTCCTTACAATTTAAGAGCATATACATTTTGACCAAAACTTATCGGCGAGCTTCAGGGCGTAGAACGAGAAAAATCAAATCACCCGAATTTCTTTGAAAACTTGCTCATAGAGGTTATCTGACCTGCTGATTACGAAAATCACATCTGCTTAGCAGGAGAGCTTCCCATTTCAGGGTTACAGTGGGCAAAATTTGAAACAACACGATTTTTCCAGAATTCACCAGCTCTTCTATCTTTTCTGAAAAAGACTCCAAGGTTTAGCCCTCGGTAATCTGCGGAAGCAACACAATCCAGTAGTGCTTATTGGAGTCTTTTATATTTGATGTGCCCTGCGTTGCGACCTTGCGAATATACGCGCGCAGAAAATTTTGAAAAAATTGGAAACAGAATTTCAAGGGCATGCTGTGTATTGGAAGATTTGCCTTGACGAGCTGAACACAATGCTGCTTTCGGATTCCGAAAATGTTCATTTTGAAGGAAGTTACGGCTGGTAGAACTTGGAACAGCTTAATTTTTCCAAAGTTTATCAGCTCTTCTATCTCCTTTAAAAGAGAGTCTTCGGCTGCTGTTTAGCGCAGAATAATCTACTGAAAGAGTACTATCGAAGGGTGCCGACGGCAGTCTCCTACGTGTGACGCTCGTTGCGTTACACCCATGGGAAGAGGAGTCCGCATGCAAATTCGAGATTATTGAAAACAGGATATTGGAGACACCCTGTATAGCAGAAGATTCGCCTTGACGAGCTGAATACAATGCTGTTTTCGGATTTTGAATACACTCATTCGGAAAGAAGTTATGGCCCTGCGTAATTTGCGTGATTCACATGAATTTCGCGAAATTTCCGGAATATCGCGGAATTCCAGGAATTTCGCGAAATTTCCGAAATTTCGCGAACCTTCGCGGAATTTCCGGAATTCTGCGACATTCACGGAAATTTTGCACATTCTGTGAGCGGTATTGTAGTAGGACGTAAAAAGCACTAGCTTAAAGCTTTGTTGATTATGTTTGCAGATTTGCTTCATCAAAATGAATTGATTACAGATCGTGATAGTCAATTCCGTCACGTGCAACGAGCTCTTCCCTACATCCATACGTACTTTATGTTATTCATTTGTACAGTTGTGCAGTCGACTGGGAATCGTCGTCGCACCTCATGTCTTTTCGTGGGTTAGTGCTATCTCCTTTACCATAAACTCGGTTTTTTACAAAATCCACTCCAGGGAGAATTATGGCAATATCTACCATACACTACGTTAATAGGTGTCGTGCTATTGGATCTGGTATGCTTCCAGGTGAGCTAAATAATTAGCGGTTTTTCAATGAAAAGGATCTCGCATAACGATTACTTATAGGTTGCACTGCCTGAGACAAAAAACAAGCCCCTCGAAGATCACATAGTGAAAAAACAGAAGAAAATTACGGGAGAAGTATAAGGATCTGTTTGACTGTTTTATTATTTGCCTAATAAAAACTCTCATCTCAGTACTGCATTTCATCCTGGAAAATTGACAATCACAACAATTTTTTACTTTATACCAAGCACAAGGATTGTGCGAAGGCAGCAAGGATAAACTAAAAGCCTTCTAATTACAACACATTTTCGTCCTTCGGCCATAAATCTTCAGTAACACACAATAGATAATAACTGGAGATGGACCTGTCCACCTGTGCCACCCAACTTCTCATCTTTGACATAAGCTGGGTCAGAATCACATAATAGTTTGCATGCTACCTTCTTACGCAACAGCAAACGTCCGTTTGCAGTGTTTGAAAGAATTATCCTCGGTAATCTATGCACTCAACATCTTCTTTAGCATTTGCAGTATGCTTAATTTGTTTCATCACGAGGCAGGGCGAATGCAATTGCCGACATATAACACACAAACGTTCAACTGTGTTCTTGTATCACAAGTAAGCAGGCTCACAGTGAGTGGTTGCATCATTTCCAAGGTTGAGCAAGGTCAGGCACATATCCTCTGAAAACGACCCTTTCAAAGTGCGACCCTTTTGCACACTTACCTGTGTTACCTCAGCGACCCCTGCTTCCTTGTCCTCACCTCCATAATCTCATAGTGTTGCAATTTGAAGAGAAACAAGACAGTAATGATGTGCTCCTAATTTTTTGAATTCTTTGCGCTTGTTTTATGCGACTGCACACTGGCACGGTAAAAAGGTATACTTGACGATTACTCTTGGGTATAAGCTTTTCAAAAGTCATGATTTCCTCAAGGAAGGGTCTGGGTCAAAATACTATTGCGGCAAAAAAGGTTTTGAACTTTTACTCATAACAGAAAATGATCGTCTGCGGATTTTGAAAGTAAGTAAGGTAAGTGGGCCAGGCACAAAGTACGAAAGCTCAGACAGACTGACCATTTGAGGGCTACTGCTTGACCTTATTAGTTTTATCTCAAGAAAGCTTTTCCACTCAAGTTCTTTGTTCGTTAGCAAATACTTACAGAGATTGAGCCCAGTACTTACAGATTGAGCACTTAATTTTCGGTCCTCTTGAAACTATTTATTATTCTAACAGTGACCACAAGAGCAAGACAAACTCTTCCTCTTTACTCAAACACATTATTTGTGCTTGAGTAAAAAGGAATTGTGTTTATGTGCATATGTAACTTGGCAGGCAATGTCCCAGCAGATGCTCGCCCTGTGAGTTGTTGTTGTGGTGGGGTTTCTGGTCATTCCACTAACGCCCAGGCCCAGTCCGGTTGGTTAATGTTTACCAGCGCCGAGAAAACAGCCTTCGAACCGGCGCGCTCAACCCCAGCTCAGACATTCGCCGTTGTCACCCGCAGGTGGACCGCCCACAAAATGGCTGATCGCACCAAAACCCGGTGCACCGTCGGGAGACATGAATTTAGTTTTGACCGGATTTTACTGCGATTTTGCCCCGACGCGCGAGCGCATGTTTTAACACGCCCGATAGCGCGTTCCAAGTAATCTTCCCGCTCATTCGAAACCAGGCACCGCGGAGAAAAGGATTTCGAGTACCGTCAGTCTCACTTATCGTTTTCCTTTTAATTTTGTTAGTCGTCGTCTGGTAGTCGTTCCTTTTGATCATCTCACTTCTGTAAAACCACTATATCATTGTTCTCAATAAAATCACGTCCTTGTTCCTGTTTTATCCCGACTTTATGCATTCTACGCTCTCATACTTACCGCGTTTGCTCTGCTTTATCGACTTTTCATATTACCAAAGTATTTCAGATGGCAGAGCATCTGATGAAGCTTTTGCTGCGGAGGATTCTTTCTTTAAACACCTGTTGTCATTCCAAATGTTCCGCTATGCGCGTACGGCTCTTGGTCTAGGAACATTACCAATCGGCATGTTGATCATGTTGGCCAGAAAGTAAGTCCATAGTATTTTTTAGCATTATTTGTATTTTTTCACAGCTATCTGCCATTCATCTTTATCAATCCATTTGATTTTCGAAAATTTTCTCATGCAAGATAGTGCAAAACGTAGGAATGTGTTTGGCTGGTTTCGCATAAATTTTAGGGCACACCCTTATACTGACATTGAGTTTTTGTACTTTACTGTGGGTATAATGTTACGCATTCTTTCAATATCGTAAGATATCTTACAAAAACAATTTTTGCACATTTCGTACCTTTTCCTGCACCTTTGGTAAATTAAAGCCCGGCTAATAAGAGAGTGCGGGTATACAAACAACATGCTAAACAGGCCCTTTGATAAAACACAGGCTTTTTGAGCACTTACCGTGGACTACCGTAATATCATAACTTCCACTGGAATTGGTGTGATGTTCATTTTTATTACGAACTCTCTAATTTGGTCTCCATCATGCTCAAAAGAGTGTGAATGCCTTCCTCTTTTGCAGTTTTTGCTTTCATATTCCATTTCTTTTTTCTCACCAAACATTTAACAATAAGAATTTTTCCTTTTTCATGCCTAAAGCGAAAGATTCTCCTCTGCATACCATTCTTTTGAGAGCTTTTCAGTGATTGTTACATAAGGCCTCTTATCTGAAAGAGGGGTTTGGACCGTGAAAGGAATTTTATTTGTCTCCAGTGTGTTACTGCCAACACTTGAACATCATTGTTGCCTGGCTGCACTTCTGTGTACAGATGCAAAAATGTATGCGGTCCATTAATAATCGGTGCACTTGTCCAAAAAATGTACTATAGTATTATTCAGGGTTTTTACTGGATGCTCTTGGGTTGCCGGACAGAGAACTTTTACAATCTGCATCCGAATACGAACGCAATCCAGACAGATAAGTCCACTTTTGGACCTTTCATGCACTATTAATTTAGGTGGTGGTTGAACCTGGCTACGAACAACGAGGAACGCAGACGGAAGTACGACAATCTTTCGGAAGCGCGGATGACTTGGATTGCATGCACACGCATGGCCATGGGAAGAGCACTGTGAGTTACAAAGTTCTAAAGCAAAGGTGCCAATTGACCATCACACCTATTTAGAACGGATGTGCGTGCGTACCATCTCGATGCTGACCGAGGAACTCTGCTGGCATCGAAGGTAAAACTTTCTTCCTCAAAATTTACGCTGTGATGCTGATGATGTTTTTCAGAAGAAGCCCCCCTGCACATCTGACGTGAATGGCTTGAACGTCATCCAAAAAACGGACGCCGACATCGCAGAAACGGATGCCAACGACTCATATTAGATCATATACACATTTTCAGTTGTGTTTTTTGTCAAGTGCTTTCTCGATGTAGCTTATTTGATTTTGCGCTGATGCAGATTTTTCCCCACCATGAAGTTTTCAATAAATTTTATAGCTTGATTTGTAAGGGACAGTGAAAGAAAACAGCACGGTGGAAGTGAAACACACAAGCATAGACCGTAACTCTGTACTTGTGTGTTCCACTCCATACTTACGCTATATATATATATATATATATATATATATATATACCTACAAAGGTGAACCACAGCTCTAAGGATCGGGGCATTATGGTGTCTCCCGCAGGTCACTCCGATAATGACCGGAGAATGCCGTGTCGGGGCATTATGGTGTGTCCCGCAGGTCGCCGCGCTGCAAACACAGGTGACCTGATTTTGCCCCGACACCGATTTCGTGTGACGCGCCGTTGGTCAATGAGATCACACCATTTTAACCTGCGGGTGACAACCGCGAATGTCTGAGAGTGCGCGCTCGGAGGCTTCGCTTATCAGTTCGGCGCGGGACCCCAACGCTCCCGCATTGTCGGGTCCGTATCAAATGATACCCGACCAGCCGCTTGCAGCCACGCTGGGTGGTAATTAAGGAGCCGCGACTTTGATTGCGGTGCGCTGCGCCGCTTTCTCTCTCGCTTCTCTAACTTCTCTCTCGATTAGGATCTTTCGTCACCACGCTCTGAGGAGCGAAATGACCTAGATTGCATACCATTGCAGGCCGTTAGGGTTCCTTCATACTACGCCGCGCGCGCAGCGTAGTATGAAGGAACCCTTAGAAAACTAATTGATCTACCAGGCAGGGTTCTTTGTGCCACGGCCTTCCAACTTTCCATTGAAACTCTCGTCTGAGTTGCCTCTTAGAAATTGGGCGAACACCCCTAAAAAGAGCTTTAATCTTGTTCAAAGTTCAATCTACGCGTTGAAAGGGCCTAAAAATGCAGAAAGGTGGAAATGCAAAATTTGCCGGGACACTGTCTTTAAGAATAAAGCGATGTGGGTCCCTGGACTTTCTCTTGGAGATGGCGCGCGAGCTGGCAACGGCGTTTATCGTAAGCAAATACGTCATCTACACCTTTTTGCGAAGACAGTGCGCAACGGCTCAGATAATCGCCAGGGGCAGGCGGCCATACGATTTTGAGCAAGCGGGCACCGGAAAAATAGTCAGCTCATTTCTTGCGGTCCGCTTGCAGATTTATGGAAGAATTTTAGCGAAAGTTTAGATGAATGCTTGGAAAACAATCGCGGTTTCCTTAGGGATTAGCTGCGGCGCAGTGCCGCATTCTCGCGGACTTTCCGCAATAATATGCAAGAATTTCGAGGGCCGCACGGTCCTTTGTGAAGGACCGCGCAACTCCCAGGTACATTCCGCTGAGAGAAAGTACCTCAAACTTGAGTAATTAAACCATCGATGACACCTCTGCCATGTAGAGTCTCACCTTTGCTCGGCATACGCCCGAAACTGCTCAAAAACCGTCCGTGCGCCAGCTGAAAACTTGACCAGCGCTCGCTGAAAGAGATTATTTGACGGGCGCCTGCAGAAAATTCTGTGTTGCTGCCCGCTGGCAGAACATTAGACTGTAAAGGAAGTACCGATCGCTGAAAGTTTGGCCACGCCCCAAAATTCTGCTGACCGCTTGCAGAAAAGCGCGAGTTTGCGGACCGCCTGCCCCCGGCTATGATCTGAGGGTATGAGACCCTAAAAGTAGCGCAAAACCGGCCGACTATGCCAAGTTTACGATTTAGGATAACGAGAATAAAAGAGACCAGCCCAAATCATTATGACTTGTAGTAAAGCGCGTG